TGCTTGGCAATGATAATCTATTCTTCAATGGACACTCAGTTGATAGACAATCTTTAGCTCAATGAGGATTATGCCCAACAATTCTATTAGATGTAGAGGAGTGTTGTGCTTAACAATTCCTAGATAATATAATTGGCAAAATAGTGCTTCTATGAAGGTAGGCATTTAATTCAAGGATCATTATGAAAAAAAAAGGACCAATATGAAATGTTTTTAAAAATAAGCATCATTGTTAAATTAAGCTGTATTTGAGACAAATTTTTTATTATTTTTATCATTAAATTTTTTTAAAACAAAAAAAAAAAAGCGGTAAAAAATTATGTCACATAAAATGTCTACCTTGTCTGCACAAAAGAATTTTTCATTTTTAGAAAAAATTATTATGTGCGAACACCAAAAGCTGTCCGGAGGCCAACCAGAAGGCGTCATATCATTTTTTTGTTAGTACCATTGTTGTGCCGTTGTGTATCAAGGCGAAATGGTGCGTTTTGGTTGGCCTCCGGACCGCTCGGTGTTCGCAATTAATAATTTCTCTTTTTTTAGGAAAAAATATTCGGTGCGGACACCTGAGGCCAATCAGAACACGATATATCATTTTTTTTGCTTGGTATTGGTATTGGGTACTATTGTGTATTTGGCAAAGTGCACGTTCTGGATGGCCTCCATGCTGTTTGGTATTTGCACAGAATGTTTTCTCATTTTTGAGGAAAAATTATTTTGTACTAACACCGTATGACGTCAGGAGGTCAACAAGAACATGACACGCCACTTTTTTGCTTGGTAATGGTATTGGGTACCGCCGTACCGCTGTGTACTTTGTGGCATAGCATGTTCAGGTTAGCCTTCGGACCCTCCAGTGTATACGCAAAATAACTTTTTTGGTATTTGAGGACCAGCGGAGTAGCTTTAGTTTCTTACCATCATTCTCTTTTTAATCTATTTATTGATCAAATTAAATATTCATGCGTATGTGTGTATATTTTTTATTCTTTTCTTTCCCCTCCTTTGTGGGCCCTATGTTGGATTATGTTTTGGAGGTAAATAGGTGATTTGGTGGCTTGATGGCCACCCTGTCTTTATCATTTTTTTTTTCCTACTAGAAATGTCATTCCACCAATAAAATAATCGGAAAAAAATGTCGAATGTGTAAAAAATATCTTATAATAGGTTAGTGATAATTAGGACCGAATTTTGGAAACAAAATTAAGGGTGAAATATAAAACTTTATTTATAGTTATTTAATTTATATTTATTTTTTTATAATTTCAAAATTAAAATCTATTTACTTTTAACTGAGAATGAGTTTAATTTCTCAAGAATAATTTGATTTAAATCAAAATAGACTCATTTAGTATTTTTCAGTTATAATATTAAATTTATCTTTAAATAAATTTTCAAAAAATAATTGTAAGTGTAAGGGATGGACGGCGCTTGAATAATACTGCATGAATAGCTCATGTCTTTTTCAACAAAATCAAGCCTTATCTTTTGAGCATCACGGGCTGTCCGTTGTTCACAGGACCAGCTTTTCAACGGCCGTGATCTGGATATGGATGCCTTTCGTTATCTCTCCCACTCCTGCCGAAGTCTCCACGTCGAAGCTGACCACAAATTAGTACTCTCTATTACGTGGCCCAGTTTTTCACAGAACAGTGGCCCGAGATTGCAGTGGCGGTTGAAAGGACAGGTTCGTCGTATTGCCTGCCTACTATTTTGAGATGAATTCTTAGGCTTTTTGTGTTTTGATTTTCTGAATGTATTTTTTTTTTTTTGAAAAATTAGGAGCAGAATTTAATTTTTTTTTTTGGGAAATAATTTAATTTCATTAACTATATAACTTAATTATAAGTACATGAGAAGTTTTTTTTGGGTTAAAGCGCACAAAAGTGGTCTATGCGTTAAGGGGTAACAATTATAAGTACTTGATGAAATAAAAGTTCCTTAGAAATATAACAATTGAAATAAAAAAATAAGAGTCATTGTTTCAATCTATTACATAGAACAAACAAAAATAAATGAAACAATCAAAGCTAAACAAGATAACATGAATGAAAACGAAGGCCAACCAAGCAAATGCTCTGACAGAAGCTCTCGGCAACAGCATGAGAAACAACAAGAGTAAATTATTCACAATATCAAAATTACTTCTTAGCTTTTCTTCTACGATACTGGGCATCATGGGAAAAGGATTTTTCAATAATGCGACTCACATTCAAACTATATATATCTTGAAACTCATCTGTTGGGTCATCTAATTCCTCCTCAACACCCCTGCAAGGCGATGATAAGGATTCTTCTAGCCAGTCAGAATGATTCACAAAAGTGTCATCCATATTCAAAGCCAATTGAGCTTTCAAGGCATCACTAGAAATAAGAGAAATATGAACATCAATCAATGGCACATTAACATTCGAAACCTCCTTATTAGGTGATAAAGCCACTTCAAAATTAGCCAAGGGAGAATCATGAGATGCAATAAACAAACCACTATCAGAATTAATTAGTGCCACCGTATTAACAACACACACTCCATTGTTCACCACCTCCACATGAGAAGCAACCAGAGTAAATTCAAGACAAGAATGATAGCAGGAGAAGCCACAACAATATCCGAAACCAACATTTCAGGCTCATCCGAAAGCCCCACATCAGCATTTGAATGATGAATCAAATACTCATTATCCAAATGACCCATAATATCATGATTGACATTTTCATGCACAGATAAATCAACACAAACATCTCCAGGCACATTTTCATACACATCATTAGCAACCTTCTCAGCTTCATTGAAAAAGTACATGAGAAGTTGAGAAAGAAACCAAATGAGAAAACAGCAGTTTTTTGATGCAGGAGCAAACAGTTGATAAGACTTTCAATTTTGAAATCAAACCTACTACCAGTCTACTCTCTCCAGATACCTTCTGAATGTACTCATTTCGCTTTGTTTTATTTTTTTATTCCTCTATTTTATTTAGCCAAAAATATTTTATAATGATAAATTCGAATAAAAAAAGTAGGAGAATTTAGATGTGAGGTTTTGTTACTTCAGGAATTCGAAAAAAATAAGAAAACTATATGGCCTTGCTCCGTTGATAAAAAAATTTATTAGTTGAAAACACTTACGCGTTGGGGTAAAAAATTTTATAAATTAATTAAGAAGTCGCATATTTTGATTTCAAAAAATTTATATTCAATCAAGATATATAGCACTCCAAGCAAAGTCAATATCTTGAAGATATTAAGGTTTTTGTTAGGGACAATTTTTTTTGGTGCTTTTAAGTAACTTTATAGTACAAAAATTTTTAGTTTAATAAAATTTTATATTAAATTAAAAAAAAAAGTTGTCCTAAACTAACCTAAATCAGTCCATTAAGCTTTTTGAAACATATTTAGAAATTTGTTCCATTTGAGATGTCGGATGTCCTTAACTTAGGCTTCGTTTGAGACGGCTTTCTTATTACTTTTTTAAACAATTTTCTAGTAAAAAATTAAATTTTTTAGCTAAAATTTTTTTTTAAAAACAAAAAGGAAACATTCCAAAATAAAGCCTTAGTATATTTATATTTAGAATAAAAGTCTCAAGATGAATATGAAGGATTTAAATATGCACGCTTTAAAGTTAGGTAAAACATTGAAAAATTAAAAAAAATATGAAAGGATCAAGGACGATCTATTCATACTATTAAATGGAGTACCCTGATATGATAGAATAGATGATCGATGCTGCACCTTTGAAAACTGTGGGGTTGGACTTTAAACGGAGAGAAATTTGAAAATTAAGTTTTTCTTCATCTACTATTTCTTATTTCAATCGCAACATCCCTTCGTTCGCCACTCAATACCAAATTTTGGTTGTGATCAAATTTGGCTGCCGCCTAGCACTAAACTTTGGCTACAAAGCATTGCCGGCTATTAGTTGCCAACCAAAATCTGGAGAGATTATTCTGTACGAAGTCCGAATGCATCTGGAGATTAATTCGGATATGTCATGTCATCCAATGCATTGTGTATTGGGTGATGTGACACATCCAGATTGAGTTGCGGATATGTCCAGACACTGTAGGTAATAATTTTTACAAAATCTAACATTTAATACTTTTCATCGATCGACATCCGTTGGTTGAGATAAATTATTGTGTACGCAATCCGAACGCAGAGTAAGGTTCGGATGCTGCGTATTTACTGCTTATTTTACTGCGTATTTTTTTATACATATTTTTTCTACGTATTTTAGCAGAAAATAAATAATACTCACTAGATGCACAATAAATACGTAGAAAAAATTATGTATAAAAAATACGCAGTAAAATAAGCAGTAAATACGCAGCATCCGAACCTTATTTGCGTTCGGATTGCGTACACAATAATCTCTCGTTGATCACAAACATTTGATGCTAGCCTTTTATGGCATATTCAACCGAACTCCATACCCCTACTTGACCTCCACAAACTTCTCCCATTCGGGGCACCATTCTCTCGTTCATGAATAGTGTGACGCCATTGGCGTCGCACTATTCACAAATGCATTTTTAACGGAAACAGAGAAAGCGGATGAGAGAAAGGCTAACACGTGTGATTGAGAAAGAATATACACATTGATTAATCTCTGACATCCCCTGTTGATTGCCATCCGACGTTTGCCAACTATAAGAATGTCTTATGTTTGCAAACCATTTACAAAGACGATATGGTCTCCTACTTAAAGCAGGCCAATTTCTTCCCTGCCATATTTTGCCACTCCTTGAACTTATAACCTTCGGTTGGCATTACGACCTATGTTGTAGATATACTATACAAGGCTAACAGTATATGATCAAAAATAAATAAAAAAAGATTATTTGCTTGATCGAACTTAAATTGAAACTCTAATCAACTTAGATATAGAGAATGGGCTCAAGATATGATCTTTCAAATCCATAATTTGCAAATAATAATAATAATAATAAAGCTACATAAAATCAAAGAAGAGAGTAAAAACACAGACGCAACATTTCTCCTTCATCCAATCTAAATTAGATAATTATGCAAAAAAGTAATTAGATAATTCTTATTTCACCAAAAAATAATCAAGAAAAGAACATATAAGTCCACTTTCTGCAGCTGATTAGTAGTTGGTACCTGGTGAATTCTAACATAATCAGAACATAGTACCCAAAAAAAAAAAAAAAAAAACATAGCTGATTTTTACCTATACATTTCTCCTCTCCCCCAAATTATATATATATATATATAAAAGTGAATCTAGGAGTTCACCTTACTCAAAAGTCTTCTGCAATCCTTTTATCTTCTTCTTATCTTCTTAATTACTCTGTACAACAAGCTGATTTATTAGCTTGTCGGGTTCTGATAAGTCTTCTGCTTGCTATCTGAGCACGTGCAGGTTGCCTTGCTATCTGTTAATGTCTGCAGAAAATATTAATTAATGCCAAAATTAGCTTAATATTTCGTTCAAAATTTCCTATATTAAATTTCCCTTAAAAGTATCTAGTACTGGAAAAAGTAGTAATTTCTGATACTGTAAATAGAAGAAATTTAACGGGTTCCAGATTAGGAGGAAGTAGGTTGAATTCCAAGTTTCCGTACCTTGACTTGTCTTTGGAGATCTTTGATGTAGTCAACGGCCAAATCCAGCATGTCCGCAGTGTTCGTTTGCTGCTAAATCGAAGTCAATTAACGAACTAATTCATGAATGAAGAAGAAGCTCCAATAAACTTCGAAGTCGCAAAGCCTGAGAACTAAAAATCATTCCCAGCTGATCGATCAATCAATCACTGTTCCATTAGCTTACCTTATCCATGTTGGGCACTAGCTCCTGCAGCTTCCTCATCCTCTCACTAATTCGTGTTCTTCTCACCTGCAATGATTCAAACTTGCGTTTTGAGCATTTGGTTTGGCTATCAATCGGTGAAGATGAACGAATTGAGGATTAAAGTACAAATTTATACTCTCTCAGCAATGCTCCTGGGATGTGTAGCACAGCCTCTCTTAGCCCTGATCTTACAGGGAACGGAGTCCTGAAACTGGAGGAACTTCTCGATCGCCGCTATCTCCGACGAAGTCTTCGGCAAGCTGAACTGGTGAGTTAGGCCGGAAACTTGGTTGTTCTTGACATCTCCTTCCTGTAAAATCAGAATCAATTAAGTCTAAGAGCGGAATATGGCCGGAGAAGTATAGAAGATGAGATGCAGTACCTGTAGCTCTGTTTGGTTCAGGCCGACGATATCTCTTGACCTCTTGTAACCAGAGAAGCTATCAGATAGCAAGGAATCCTCCCAAGAAGAAACAGCGTAGCCTGGGATGAGGCAACGGCCATTGCTATTCTCCACGGGGCTTTCGTGGTCACCGGAGATGCCGTCGCTTTCCATCTCAGATATTTGAGACAGCGAGTTTTGCCGGGAGGAGAAGCTAATCTGTCCCTTGATACCGCCCGTCATCCCTCTCATCAAACCATAGCCTAAAATAAAATTAAAACCGTAACGAATCAAATCATTTATACGGAAAAGAACAATTGTTTTGCTGTAGTTTTTATGGCAAATAAGAGACAAAAGCTTATCCGTGAGATAACTGGAGAAGAAATTGCCATTTTTATCGAAACCAGATGTGTTTACAGTGTGGGTAATAAATGAAAGCTGAAACTTCTATTGCCGCAGTTGGATTTGGTATAACTTGCAAGAGAAGTTGAATGAAGTAAAGATTACCGTTGTCGACGTTCAAGTGGGAGAAGAAACCAGCAGGAGAGCTGCTCTGCCGGATTAGATTTGCTCCATCCGCCATAGATTGTTGATGCTGAGAGTGATAAAACATCTGGGGCGGAGCACAGGAGAACCCACCGTTCTGCTCTGTCTCCGGCGACGGCTTGAAGTGAAGATTTCTCTCGACGGCGGCGGGCTTTTCGCGGATCTCTTCGCGTAGATCTGGCGAGAGAAAGCGCGCGAACATGGATTCTGTCTCGGGGCTTGAGGGTCTTACAGGAAGGAAGTTCTCGCATACCTCCCCGAGCAGAGAACTCGGAGCCGAGCGGTACCGTAGCAAACCGGAGCTCATCTGTTGCTGCCTCTGAAGATCGGATTCTTCTTTCCGGCGACTGAACGGGAGGTTTAGCTCTTTAGTTGCCGCCGCCGATGGAGATCCGTACATCACTATTCCCTTCCCTTATCCCCCCTATCTCCCTCTCTCTTTTCTACTTCTGGATCGTACTGAACAGTAACAGATCCGAATCAGAACTCAAAGAAAAAGCTTGAATTCAGTAGGGAATATGATCTTCTTCCACTTGGCCATAGACTAGGAGCTCGCAGGAAATCAAAGCCGATCTTTTTATAGCTTGACCTGCACAGTAATATATCGATCGGATACAGGGAGAAACCTAGCGGAGCGGAAAACTCGCAGAAATCGCAGCGAAGAACGGTGAGAAATCGGTAAAGCAGTTCCTTTTACGCTTCGTCTTCGTCCTCCCTTCCTATTCTCACTGCTCTCGCTATCAAAAATGATGAAGAAATCGATCAATCCTCTATTCCTCTTCTCCGACTCAGTCCAAAAAATATATATATATTTTTTTTCGAACCTTATGGGTTCATTATTTACCCGTCCACTCGAAGCACCGAAACACGGATTCGTTTCAGCTGTTTTAAGTGCGGGAAGGGCAGTCATTCAACTATTTATACATCTGAACTGACAAAAATACCCTAAGTATCTTCTATTATTTCCCCAACGCCATGTTGAAATGACGATTGACCTCGTAATGGGAAGGAACTTTCCGTTAAGTTGTTCTGGCTACGTGGAAGAAGGACGTTGATGTGATTAGTAGCGCAGTGTCAGCGGAGCAGGATAATGTGTTGGGTGGCAGTGGGGCCTTTTTATTTTTGGATGAGTTTGTCGTTAAGCTGAAAGGAAATTTTTTTTTTTTCTAATTTTGGAATTGCAACGATGTTTGTCATTATCCATAACACGGAATGGTTCCGTCGCACGTCACCATTTTTTTTAATAAATTTCAAGATTACAATACAATATGCTAATGGACGGTTGTGATTCGGTTGAACCAGTACATCTATCCATTCATCGCTACCATCTGGATCCGAAAAACTCGCTTAACAACGCAATTTGGCGTGTAATAACCGCTACACTGCGGTAGAGGCCTGTAGCTTGACTCTCACAAAACTTATTATATAATGTGTAGAGAGGGAAAGAGACGGAACAGGGAAGAAGAAGGATTTCTTCTTCTCCTCTGGAAACGGAGCAGGAGGCAGAGAAAGGAAAAGTAACAGTAAAGAAAGTAATTTCTATTCTATTCCTTTAATTACAGACCATTGGGTAATATATAGACAAATGAATACAAGAATTGTACGACCTACTCTAACGGTACATTAGAGACCCAACCATGGGATGACACGTGGACAGGTTGCTAACATAATGTAGCTAGAAATTTAATTTTTGGAATGTACCTTAAAAAGTCTTAAAAATGTTTGTTTATTTTAATTTGAGGCTTCATTTGATAATCTTTTTATAGTTAATTGATTAGTTATATATTTAAAAGTATTTATTAACAAAATTAGTTTAATAACTTGCAATTTATTCTGATTATTTTTTTTCTCGATGGCATTCATTGTAATATTTCAAAAAAGAAGACTAGTGATGAACTGGTTTGAATATAGCTTCAAGCACTTAGCGTGTCAAATAAAGTTATACATTGCTCCAATATTTTGATATTTTTATTTAATTATTAATTATAAAAAAAAATTAAATTTTGAGTTATAAAATGAAGCTCTGAAAGTAATGAAATATAGGCTACAAGAAATTACATTAATTTCAAAAAAAGAAATTTAATTTCACGTTAGTGCGATTTTTTATCAAGAAATTTTTTTGTGAAACGGGGCGGATCCAACCTTAATTTTTAGGGTGGACAAACTTATTATATAAAAAAAGAAGACTCTAAAAGCCGAAGGTTGTGAAAACACTGAAGGCTAGGAAGATGTCGAAAAGCGAAGCTGCAATTCGCAAACCTTAGCATGTGAAGTGCTGCACATGCAAAGACAAAATTCTAAATGGAAAAGGGGTAGGCGCACACGGGATAGGATGATATTAGGACAAAAAAATATTTTTGAGAGGGGACAGAATTTCAAAATAGACCTTTATATACATTTTTTTTATGCTCACCCTCGAAACCCTAACTCATATAGGGATATGCCCTTGTGAAGAAGTATAGATAATGAAAGAAATAATAGATTTTATGTTATTTTCATTAATATTAATATGAAATATGATCAAATACTATATTAATTAATTTGGAGTACTTGAAGACAAAATGTATATGAAAGATATATTAACATTATTAAAGAATATGTATGATGAAGCACTAATTAATATTAAAATTTTCTAATAATGTAAATTTTTTAAAAAATAGCATTGAGTTTGTATTTGTTTATTAGTTAGATAAATGTTTATAAAAATATTCAAACAATGCACCTTGGTGAAAAATAGACAAATTAAGATTTAAAGATATTAATTAAAAAAATTAAAATAAAAAATTTAACTTTTGTAACTAACATAACTGGACAAAAAAAATTAAGAGCACTTAGTAAAGTTAGAGAATACCTCTTTTAGGCTTCGTTTGGAACAATTTTTTTACTGCTTCTTAAAACAACTTTTTATTTTAAATATTAAAATTTTTGTATTAGAAAGTTGCTTTAAAAACTGTAAGAAAGACATCACAAATGAAACATTAATCTAGCTATTATGATTAAATATTTTAAATATTGTTAGTCGCTTCTTATTTGCATAAAAATATCAATAATTTGTTTTAACTCATTTTTTTTTTTTGTGATATCATTCTTAATATATGTTATTAATGAACTTGCAAGATAGAGAACTTTGAATACATCCACCTCAACAATGGAGCCATGGATATATCCACCTCAACTGTGGCGAGTTTTCAATCCATTAAGTAGTTATACATCACGTCAAAATTGTTTTGAAAATTTGATGACAAAGGGAACTTTATCATGTGTTGATGTGAGGAGATGGATGTGTTGCGCTCTTTGAATCTGGAAGAAATTTTGGAAAGCAATGAACGTCCTAAGGAGATTTCAGATAAAAAATTAACTATCTTTGGAGAATAAGTATGGGGTGATGATGGAGACTTATAGAATGAAACAGTGGAAGACTTTGGAGAACAAGTATCTAACGAAGAGCATGGATAATCATATACATATGAAACAACAGCTCTAGAGGATTTAGATGAGACATGAGATTACGATTGATAAGCATTTGAATGACATCACAAAGCTATTGATAGATCTTTTAAATTTGGATGAGGATGTTGGAGATGAAGATAAGACGCTCTTTTTGTTGAATTCACTCCCGGATGAGTATGAAAATTTTACGATGATAGTCATTCATGGGAAGGAGGTCTTGAAATATGGTGAGGTGACTACTGCGTTGCTAAATCATAAGTTCAAGCATCGGGAGGTCTTGAAATATGGTGAGGTGATTACTGCGTTGCTAAATCATAAGTTCAAGCATCGGGATAAATAGTCTGCAAAGATGGATTCAGGAAAGGCTCTCACACTCCAACAAGAAAGATCTGAGAAACAGAAGAATAAAATGAACTGCAGTGGCAAGCATGGCAAGTCTAATGGGCACATTCGTGGGAAGAATCAATGTGTTTTTTGCTTGGAAACTGTTCATTGAAAGAAATATTGCCCAAAGCTTAAGGAGAAGAAAAAGGGAGTTTCCTCTGAGGTTAACCTAAGCGTGGAAGAGCGTGATAAATATTCAGATGTATCACTATCGACAGTTTATCAGAATTTGTATTCAAATAGTTCATGCTGGATTCTAGATACTAGTGCTACCTATCAAATTTGTCCGACTAGAGAGTGGTTTTGTACCTACAAAGCACTTGATATTGGTGTTATAATTAGGGGAAATGATTAGGCTTATCTTACATTTGGTGTAGAGAGGATCTCATAAGAATGCATGATAGTATTGTGAGAGAGCTGATTAATGTGAGGCGTGTTCTAAATATAATGAAGAATTTGTTATATGTTAGGCTTTATAGACCAATGGCTACAAGGTAACCATCGAGGAAAGAGTTCCAAAAATTTATTATGGAGTGCTGCTTTTTTTGAAAGGATTTTGTCAGCACAATTTTTACTATCTTTAGGGAAGAATAATGATCGGAACATTTGTTGTTGCTGATGATTCTTCTGATGCCATATCATTGTGGCCTAAGTGTCTAGCTCATGCTTGATAGGCTTCACTTAAGGCTTTGCTGAAGCAATGATAGATTAAAGGAGCAAGCACCTGAAAGCTCAATCTTTGTGAATATTGTGAGTTTGGCAAGAAGTTACATGTATCCTTTGGTACTATATTCCACAATACAAAGAATATCTTAAAGTATGTTCACACAGATGTTTAGAGCCCGATGAAGACATCATTATTCGGCGGGCGACGATACTGTCTCCTTTGTTGATGATTACTCCAAATATATTTGGGTGTATGCTATGAGGCGCAAGAGCAATGTACTTGAGATTTTTAAAACTTAATAGAAGTGGATTGAAACTTAGACTGACAAAAGTATTCGGTATATCAAATTAGGCAATAGGAGAGAATACATTTCGAATGCATTCTTACAAGAGTGCTAAAGATCTGGGATTGAGCACCACTTCAATGTTAGAGAGACATTGCAATAGAATGGGGTGTCAGAAAAGATGAATTGAACTTTAGTGGACAAACTTTGGTGTATGTTATATCCAATGCTGGACTGGATAGAATTTATAGGGTTGAGGCAATATACTATAGCTATCACTTGTTGAACAATCTGCCTTCTGCTAGTATTGAGAAGAAACCCCCAAAGGAGATATGGTCAGGACATCGTGCGTGCTAGAGATTACGAGCACTTGAGATTCTTTGGATGTCCAACTTACTATCACGTTTATGATGATAAACTAGAATCACGAGAAAAGAAGACAATCACGAGAAAAGAAGGCAATTCTTACAGAAATGCTAGAGAATCTTTAGGATGAAAATATAAAAAATACATAAATTTATAAAATTGTGTAAAAAATAAACTCATAATTATCAGGGCATATCTTCTATATCTTTTTCATTTATATCTAATAATTTTTTTTAAAACCGAGATTATATTACTCATTACCTCTCAGTAAGACTTTGTAAGGGATAGTTTTATTACTATTTATTTGTATATTACAATCACAATTTTTATTTGACACTAATAAAAAACCTTTATGAAACGAAGTCTAAAGCTTTGTTTGAAACAGGTTTGTAACTACTTTCATAAGAAAAATAGTGCCAAAAATCGTCAGAAACCAAGCCTAAATCTTAAATAAAAAGGTGTGTAATTTTAGACTTTAAATAAGTTCACATGGTAATCACATTGAATTCACGGGCTTATGTACATTTTTTGTGATTGATAGATCATTATTCACACAAAGAAAGTCATGGGAACAGTGCCATTTTTTTTATTCAATAAATTTAATGGCGACGCAGGCCCTTACTAAAGAAACGCTGCTTCATTTTCCTTGAAACTTACAGTTATAACATATCATTCATTGCGTAAATGACACATAAAAATCCAAATTACTTAGCAAAAATCTGCGTTTTGCAAAGCAAGGAA